AAAAATCATGAGAAATATATGTTAAAAACATGTCAAAACCCTTCGACGATTCATGACAAAAATTCGGCCGAACGTCCGATGGGCATGTTGAATGCAGTGGCTCCATGGAACATGGAGCTCATGTCCAGTACCTTCGAAGTATCCCATGCGCTGATGTTCTCGTTGAAGTCGTCCAAGTCCTTGATGTCTCGGACACTGCGTGTGTCCCAAGCACCGATGGGTTGGTCAAAGGATCTGGCTCCGTAAAACATATAGGACATGTCAGTGACAGCAGACGTATTCCACGACCCGATGGGTTGGTTGAACTTCGCAGCATGGTAGAACATGCTTCTCATGGTTCGGACTTTGCTCGTGTCCCAAGCACCCATGGGTTGGTCAAAAGAGCTGGCTCTGTAGAACAAAAAGGACATGTCTGTGACTGCAGAGGTGTTCCATGACCCTATGGGCTGGTTGAACTTGGCAGCATTGTAGAACATGCTGTTCATGTCTCGGACACTGCGTGTGTCCCAAGCACCGATGGGTTGGTCAAAGGATCTGGCTCCGTAAAACATATAGGACATGTCAGTGACAGCAGACGTATTCCACGACCCGATGGGTTGGTTGAACTTCGCAGCATAGGCGAACATGCCCTTCATGGATCGGACATTGCCCGTGTCCCAAGCACCGATGGGCTGATCAAAGGAACTGGCTCCAAAGAACATGTCTTCCATGTCAACGACTGCCGCTGTGTCCCAAGCATCAAGTGGCTCATTGAAATTGGAAGCCTTGTAGAACATCTTGTGCATTGTCTGCACACTTGTTGTGTTCCACGTGCCTTGGCTCTCTCAAAAAGGACATTTCAAATCCTTTTTCCTGAAACAACATACCAATTGTCTGTAGGACCACTTACGTGGTCGATGTTCGCAAGTGGTTGCAGGTGTTACCAGTTTAGCCCCGCGCAAAACCGTCACAATCTGGCCCTGACCATTGATGTCAAAACTGATCAAAACCTGACACTTGAGATCACTATATAGATCTAAACCATCTGGTCATCGATCAAAACTGGACCATCGATGGTCTGACTCTGGATCACTTAGATCACTTAGATTAAGAGTAGATCCCCGTCCTTCCGGGACAGCTCCAGCGGATCACGTCGAGTTGTCTCGGGTCGATTCCGAGATCGACTCCGAGTTGTCTCGGGGTCGCTCAAAGGGGTGAGCGAAAATCAGGGGTGAGCAGGGGTGAACCAACGAAAAACACCAAGAAAACAAGCGAAAACAAGCGCAAGAATCATGAGAACCAATGTGTTTAAACATGCATTAAACAAATGCCGTACTACTCAAAAATCATGAGAAATATATGTTAAAAACATGTCAAAACCCTTCGACGATTCATGACAAAAATTCGGCCGAACGTCCGATGGGCATGTTGAATGCAGTGGCTCCATGGAACATGGAGCTCATGTCCAGTACCTTCGAAGTATCCCATGCGCTGATGTTCTCGTTGAAGTCGTCCAAGTCCTTGATGTCTCGGACACTGCGTGTGTCCCAAGCACCGATGGGTTGGTCAAA